CCGATCCTTCCTCTCAAATCGCGAAAGGCGTTCGGTCGCGAGTCCTCTTCCGACTCTTCTCCTTCCTCTCAAATCACGAAAGGCGTTCGGTTGATAGAGCTTCAAAATCACGAAAGGCGTTCGACCGCGAGAGCTTCAAAATTGCGAAAGGCGTTCGGCCGCGAGAGCTTAGGGTTTGTCATTTGTGTTCGCTGCTCTCCTCCTCTTCCGAATCATCTCTTCTCCTCTGAAAATCGTGAAAGGTTTTCGACGGCGAGAGTTTAGGGTTTGCTCTACTGATTCCTCCTATTTCAAGCCGAACTCGAGCCGAACTTGAGCCAAAAAATACTATTCGAGTCGAACACGAACACACCATTCACGAACTATTTCGAACACGAGTCGATTTTGAACACGATTCACTATCAAACGAGTCGAACACGAGCAACACGAGCCGACCTTGAGCTCGCTCAGGCTCGGCTCTTTTACAGCCCTACCTATATTTCAAGATCCTATCTTAATATAAGTTTCATTAGTTTCATGGACTAACTTTTTTACCCTCATTAGCTAGGCATGAGAGGAAACTGATAGAAAAGCAAGCACTCAAAACTATTCATATTTTTCGGGCAATCTCATCATGTAGAGAAGTTAAAAGCAAGTTGGCTCTCGAAGAAGTGCAAAATCTAAATATTGTGCTTTTACACTAGGAAGATGTGAGCGAATGTGGATTCAATGACTATTAAGAGAACTTGAGGCTGAGAAGAAAGACACAACTAAGATATTCAGTGATAGCCAAGTAACTATTAGTACAACCATAAATCATGTGCATCATGACAGAACAAAATAAATCGAGATTGACCGACAGTTCATCTCAAAAAAAGTTAACAATAGAATTGTTCTACCCAAGTATGTTCCTACCTGACTTGACTTCGGACTGTTGATATTCTCACCAAAGAATTACCAAAGGTTAATTATGATGGATTGAAATCCAAGTTTGATTTGTACAATACATACATCCCAACTTGAGGAGGTGGAAAGTGTCAATCTGCATTACGAATAAATTTATTTACTTTTTCAAAATATACCTCTATTAGATATTCTTGTTTATGTTTTTTTCTTGTTTTGGAGGAATTCCTATTCGGTTTCTTTTTCTTCATTATATACATGTAGCAAGGTGCAACACATGAAAGAATAATAAAAATTCTTTTGAAAATTTTTACAATAACCAACACTTGGTGACAATGAATTTAACAATGGTGAGGATAACCACGCTAGAATGTGTAGCATATTGGTTGGAAATAAAAAGAAGAATCTCAAGGTGTGAGGATTTAGCGCTTACCATGCCCGGAAAAAAAAGCTTGCACCATTCACTTGGAAGGTACAACTATATCCTCACTAGCCAAATTGTGCCAATATGACAATAGTTGTTTTTGATTAAACGTATGCTTTGATGATCAAGATGAGGGAGTCAATGGAGCCTAGAAATAAACACCTCTTGCCTCGAGAACAAGGAGGAAATTCTCGATCTCAAATTCCTTAGAGCTACTTGTAGAGTTGTGAATTTAGCTCCACAATCATTATTTCTTGAAGTTTAATTTGAATTTTGGCTCAAATCGAGAACAGTTAAAGATAAATAAGTCAAGTTACAAACTAAAATTTTGGATCGAATTTTTTTAAGCCAAACCCAGCTCGGCTCAAAATCTGATTGTTAACAGCTCTAGTGATGTTAGGGCAATGAATTTAGGGTCTGTTTGGCGCAGCTGCAGATTGTCAGCTTTTCAGCTGCAGCTGGGCTGCCCCCGGGAGGCGGTGGGGGGG